CTGTGCCTGGCCTATGGCTTTACATTTCACGTACATTTTGTACTTTATATATTTACAGTATTCAACTATAAAACTTTCCTCCAGAAGTGTTTCCATAAAAATAACTCCATAATAACATGCTCAATGTGACATGCTGCTGATCGGGAGTCCCACAGCTGCCTGTGCTGGGATAGGCCTAGGGGAGACAGGCTGTGGCCATTTACCCAGTGTTGGGAGTTGGGGCAGGGACAGGATTGCGATCTCTGGGAAGTGAATTGGCTGAAGCTAGTGAGACCCTCACTGGAGTCCTGAGCTCTAGTCCTAGCTCTAGCACCCACCCTTGTTTCTCAGTGACCTTGGACAGGTCCTCCACTGTAGTTTGGCTTTCGTTTCTGAAGGGGTTTGGTTTATAAGCTTAGTTCCCTCCAGGCTGAGTGTTCAGAAGGGCTTTACTTCTGATCATGGCTGACAGGAAGCAGCTGGGTGTGGAGGAGACAAGATGGTGGTGACAATGACTCTATGAACCCAGATGTTCCGTCAGCCAGGACTTGTCCAGGAGAGGGCAATGGATGGTGGTGGTCCTGGGTGTTTCTGAGGGCTCAGAAGGGACACAGGCCTCCCTTGGACAAACCAGGGATACATTCTCTGACAAGATTCCTGAGATAGAGATCATTCCTTGAAGCCAGAAGTAGTTTCAGGTGAGGCCAGGAGACATGATTCACCCACGCTCTGTAGCGAGGGCCCTCTGAACAGAGGACAGAGAATTTCAGAGGATGCAGCAAGACTAGCTTTGGTCTCCTCCAGAACGGGGACTACATCCTCTGGGTTGGCTGAATGACCTGCCCGAGAGAGACAGCTGGCCTGGCACCTAAGCCGTCAAATTGGGGCCCAGGTACTGCGGTCTGTCTCGAGCTCATGGGGGCAGTGTCCTGCACCAGCAGAGTTGGAAGGAATACAAAACTTGGGTTTGCTTAAGATGTGTCTTTTGGGCCTTTGTTGCTGTTTCATGGAGACTAGGCTCCTTGGGGAGCACTTGATGGCTTAGGACAAAGTCTCTTCATTCTCTAAGATGTTTCTGGCCTGAGGAACAGAGGGAAGGGAAACTGCTCATTTTCTTTGGACTGTCAGAAGTGGGTGATCAAGGGAGGTGACAATTTCTGGCACTGGAGAGGGAATGATACAGGTTGGGGGAGCAGAAGGGTTGGTTACCTGGTTTATTTCTCTCCACAAGAATCCTGAGTTTCAAAAGAAGTTGCTCATTTCCAACATGGGCACATCAGGGTATTGAACTGAAAGCACAGGCTGGTGCCAGCCTCTCCAGAAACTGTGGAGAAAGCCATCTTGGCTCGCTCCTCAGAGGGTAGTAGTTCTGGGCACATTGTATTTCAAAACCACATCATGGGAAAGCTCACCTCAGTCATCCTAACCGAGATGCAAAATAAAGTGATTCTGAAAGGCCATTTTTCACTTATCAGATTGGCAAAAGATTAAAACACACTGCGTTGGCTAGGGTGTGGGAAAACAGGCTCTCTACGTGGGGCTTTTGGCAATAGCTGTGGTCTTAACCCATTTGAGATGCTCTAACAAAGTACCATGAACTGGGTGGCTTGTAAACAACAGGAATTGATTTTTCACAGTTCTGGAGGCTGGGAAGCCCAAGATAAAGCATACTTGGTATTTGGTGAGGACTCACTTTCTGGCTCACAGATGATGCCTTCTCCCCGTCCTCACACAGTAGAAAAGGAGAGCAAGATCTCTGCCCTGGGTCTTCATCTTCTGTGTTTCTCTCTCTCTCTCTCTCTCTCTCTCTCTCTCTCTCTCTCTCTCTCTCTCTCTCTCTCTCTCTCTCTCCTCTCTCTCTCTCTCTTCAGTGCTTGGGCTCAAACTGCAAACCCAGGGCCTCACACATGCTACGCAAGCACTCTACCACTGAGCTATACCTCCAGCCCCTCTGGTATATTTTTTAAGGCATCAAACCCATTCGTGAAGGCTCTTGTGACATAATCATCTCCCAAAAGGTCCTATTTCCTAACACCATCACCTGGGGAGTGAGGGTTTAACCTGTATTCTGGAGAGACACAAATATTTAGATTTCAGATCACAGCTATCAGCATGTGACTTATGTTATGGGCTAGGAATTCTGCTTCTAAGAGTTGGCCTCCAGATACACCAGCAAAATGGCACTGTTACTGTGGCATTGTTTGTTGGAAATAGTCTCAATTTCTCTAAATTAGAGAACTGGTAACAAATTAGCATAACACACAATAGAACTCTGTAGTCATAAAAACAAATGAGGAGCTAGGTGAGGTGGTGCACACTTATGCCAGTAACTCAGGAGGCTGAGGCAGGAGGATTGCAAGTTTGAAGCCAGCCTCTAAAACTTAGTGAGACCCTGTCTCAAAACAAAAAATAGGTGCTGGGATTGTGGCTCAGCGGTAGAGTGCTCGCCTCACATGGGCCAGACCCGGGTTCGATCCTCAGCACCACATAAAAATAAAGGCATTGAGTTGTGTCCATCTATACTTAAAAAAATAAATATTAAAAATAAAAAGGACTAAGGTCCACCCCTGGGTTCTTCCTCCAGCACCAAAAAAATAGTGGTTTTTTTTTTTTTTTTTTTTGGTACCAGGGACTAATCCCAGAGGTACTTAGCTACCAAGCCAGCCCTTTTTATTTTTTATTTTGAGACAAGGTCTCACTAAGTTGCTTAGGGCTTAGGCTAAGATGCTTAGACTGGCCTTGAACTTGACATCTCCTGCCTCAGCCTCCCGAGTCACTGGGATCACAGGTTTGTACCACCACGCCTGCTCTTTAAGTACCAGGAATGACCTTCAAGAGGTAGTAAGTTTCCACATATACAGAGTATATGCAATACGTTACCTTTTTGTTTGCTTGTTTTTATTTTTCCAGTACTGGGGATTAAACCCAAGGGTGCTCTACCACTGACATCTCTAGCCCTTTTTATTTTGTTTTGAGGCAGAGTCTCACTAAAATGCCTAGGCTAGTCTCAAACTTGTGATCCTCTTGCCTCAGCTTCCCAAATGCTGGGATTATAGGTATGTGCCACCACACCTGGCGTATGCTACCATTTGTATAAAGAAAGGAAAAAAATGTGTCTGCCTGCATTTGCTTGACATACACAGAATGTCTCTGTGGAAACAGAGCTCTATTTCCTTTGGGCCCAGGGAGAGGCAATTCCTTCACCTATCCAAGAAGTGAGTTATTCTGCTCTACAGGTCTCCAGAAATGGTGGGCAGACACAGGTTAGGAGAGAGCAGGGCCATGCCCATTAGTAGCCTGGTCACCTCACTCAATTTAAGCCTCTGTTTCCTCATCTGTGAAATAGTAGTACTCTTAAGAAATGAGGGCTGGGGGTGTAGCCCAGTGGTAGAGTGCTTGCCTACCATGTGCAAGGTCCTGGGTTCCATCCCCAACATGCCAGCCATTCACCTACACACACATAAAAAAATTTTAAAAAAAGAAAGGAAGGAAGAAATGTTTAAAAAGTGAGATACTGCATGTACAAATGGGGATAATAATTGCCAAATCCCACCTTATAGGGCTACAATGCTCAGTAAGTGATTTGTTTCAAGTAATCTTGGTTTCTCGTCTGCACCTCTGACTCTTATTTTTTTTAATATTTTTATTAGTTGTTGATGAATTTTTTTATTTATTTGTAAGTGGTGCTGAGAATTTAACCCAATATGTCACACATGCTAGGTAAGCACTCTACCACTGAGCCACAACCCCAGCCCCTGCACCTCTGACCCCTATAAGATCAAAATGCACCTCAGTGAGGCTGCGGAGGCCCGAGTCTATCTTCAGTCTTCCTTTCCACACTTGTCCTTGCAGTTCCTTCGTGCTGTTCTCTCTTCTCTCTGTCTAGAATGTTCTTCCTTCCTTCCTTTGTTTGCCTCGGTCAACTTCAAAGTTTAACTCAATTGCTTCACCAGCCCTGGAATGTTCTTTCTGAAATCCCAGCCCAGAAAGACTCTTGCACCTGCCTCTGCAATGGCTGAGAACCTGGGTGCAGCCCCGTGACTGTCATCACCCTGCACAGTCACCCCCATTCAGCATATGCTCGTGCACACACACGCACTTGTTCGTCACTATAAAAGGAACAGAAAAGAGGCAGGTGGTGGTGCACATGTAATCCCAGCTACTCAGGAAGGTGAGGTAGGAGGATCCCGGGTTTGAGACCGGCCTGAGCAACTTAGTGAGACCCTGTCTCAATAAAATAAAATAAAATAAAACAAAGCAAAATAAGGGCTATGGATGTAGCTCAGTGGTAGAGAGTCACTGGGTTTGATCCTCAGTACTCAGAAGGCGTGGGGGGACTCTTAGCTCCACTTAAATGAAACCACAACAACATACCATTTTCTACCTATCAGACTAGCAAAATTCAACGAGTCCCAAGACACTGGGGTGGCAAGGAAGCAGGCACATGACAAGAGCATAGATTGGAGCATATTCTGAGAACCGGGTGACATCGATCTGTCCACATTTAGTAGGCACATAGAGCACAGGACATGCATCAATGCGTGCAGTGGCAGAAGGCTGGGAACCACCTAAGGGTCCATCACTGGGGACTGATGAATGTAGGTGGCGCCCTACTGTGCACGCAGCATTATGTAGCCAAGAAACAGAGAAAAGTTCTTTATTATTCACATGGAAGGCGCACTGAGAAGCGTGCCAGGGGGCAGCACGGGGAGTTTCTACAACGGCTGCCATGGTGTATAAAGGGAGAAAATATATACAAGCATTTGTATTTGATGCACAGAGAATACATGAAGGTCGTATTGATGGCAACACACCAGGAGCCTCCAAAGACAAGGGCTGAGAGTCTGGGAAACAGGAGGAGGGAGAGCCTTAGCTACCCCATATATATTTTTCTGTCTTTTAAATTTTACACTTAAACATTTTTTATCTATTCAAAATTACATAACTTTTTAACAAAGGAAAAAATTTGCCATAAAATGGAGATGAAGATAAGTCCTAAGCACCAAGATGAAGAAAGATACCTTGAATTTGTTTCCAGGGGTGAGAGGGTCCATGGCAAATCTTTACCCTTGGGCCAGCTGCCCCCCACTTGCAGCTGGGCACTGTCAGTTGAGGGTCAGAGAATTAAAATCTTGTTTCGGTACGAGCCTGAGTAAAACAGAAGAAGGATAAACCTGCTATCAGTGGCTGGGGAAAAATTCACGAATGAATGCATACCAAAGCCCAAAAAGAAAGATTAGAATCTGGGGCCCCAGGGCTTTTTCACCACAGCATACTATGACAAGGACCTCTTGTACCCACAAAGCTCCTACTAAGAGCCTCTGAGGATCCACTGCCTGAGCATGCGCAGGCTCTGGGTTCAATCCCCAGCACCACCAAAACCAGAAAACAAAAACAAAAGTCTCTGGAAACCATCTGGAGGGAGTGTTGGGTGGAGGTGCTCCAAGGCTAGACCAGGTGACCTCCACAGGAAAGACCAACCAGAGGAAGGTGCAGAAAGGCCCACCAGCTCCAGCGACCCCTTTCCTGGCCAGCCTTGATTTAGAGCTGACTGAAAGGTCCCCTCCCCACCCCCACACCCCCACGTAGCCAGGGTACAATCTGAGGGTCAACGCTCTTGGGGAAAGCTCTGCCAGCCTTATAAGGGAGAAGGCTGGTTACAGCCATCAAACCAGCCTCAAAAGAGAAGATGTTACAAGAGGGACACAGGAGTCTCAGGGGCTGGGCAGTACCAATGGCTGAGTCCTCCAAGGCTAGCTCAGGTCGTGCCCCACCTGCCCTGCCCTTCCACCTCCCCTCTCCTTACCTTTACTGCATCCTCATTTGCTAACCCCACCCCATTTGGATCTCAGCACAGGCTTCAGGCCTCAGTCCTGAAGGCCAACCCTCTGACAGCTCTTCTCCTTTGTCTTGGTCAGCAGAGTTAAACAGGTTCCTGTGCCTGTGTGTTTATCCGTCTCCCTGACTACACTGCTGACTCCCAGGGAAAGGGAGCCATCAGGTAACCCTGGGTTTGTGTCTCCTCCCTCTCCCTTGATTCAGGGCTCAGGCTCTGTCGAGCAGCTGTGCTCAGCTGGCCAGCTCCCTTGGGGCCAGGAACAATCTCCCCCCAGTTTCAGGGTGGCTAGCTTCCCCCCTGCTGAAAGGGGTTTGGCAAATGCCAAACTATGTGCCAAACTAACTGTAAGAGAAACAGCATCTGCCCTCCCCCCTCCTTCTCCCCTTGGGAGCCAGAATGCTCCCAAGTCCGCTCCTGTCACTCTCTTGCTACCCATCTCCCTCTAAATAACATCCAAAGCCATTTGCCAGGCACAAGAGGCTTTACCTGGCCTGGCCCCAGTTCCCTACCCCCCACCTCCTTCTGCTCCGGGCAGGTGGCCTTGCGGTCTGGTAGCAAGCACCTTCCTTCCTCAGACCCAATGCCTTGCTGTGTTTTCCCCCGGGAATGCTTCCCCTGAGGCTGGCCCCATCTAGGCTCTGCTGGTCTAAAATCACAAACCCTGCAGCAACTAGCTCTTTCAATTGCTCCCACTGTAAGTCAATCTCTCCTTTTCTGGCACCTCCAGAGTCACCCCTTGCTCTACCCTGGGGCTGGCTGCTTATAGGGCCTGAAACAATGGAGCCATGCCCTCTGGCCAGAGAGCAGGCCACACTGGACAGGGGGACAAGAGGGTGAGGCAGGGTTGCTGTGAGCTGCCTGAGCTCCTGGACCCAAACCTTGGATCTGCACAGGTGTCTCCAAGGGTTCTGGGAACTACACTCTCCCTCTGCAGGCTCCCAGCCCAGGGTCTACACGAAGCCTGTACCTTGCCCTCACCTTTGGAGGTAACCCTTTTATTAAACCTTCCTCAAATCACCCAACCCAGGCAGTCTCTTTCCTTTCAGGTCACCATCTGGCAACACATGTCTGTTGTGAGCTGTCCCCCACTAGACCACAAGTTCAGGAAAGACAGGGACCCTTTACACTCTCTGAGGCACCTCAGCCTCTGTGTCACCACTGGCACATGGTGGCAGCTCACCAGGTGTATGTTAAATGAGTGTCTGGAGAAAGGGAGGATCAATCTGATCTGGAGAGAGGTTGGGGGGCTGGAGGACAGGCTCCAATGCAACCCGAGCTCAAATGCAACCTGGGCAACAGTGAGAAGGGGCTTCTCCCAAGGCGGGAACCCTGCTATGTCATGCTTAGCACTTCTCGGCAACCTCGGATGGCTCTGGGTTTGTTTTCTTTGAATGTCTTCCCATTGGAATGAATTCCCCATAGGCAAAGGCCACATCTTTCTTGCTCACCACGGTATCCTAAGAGTTGGAACAGTGCCTGGCATACACAGAAGACGCTAGATCCACGTTTGTTGAATAAGCTAGAGGAAAACGAGTTCTCCAAAAGAAATAACGAACTGGCCGAGGACCTCAACAGCCTGATTGGGTGGTTTGGACATGGGAGAGGACAACAGAGGAGGACCTACAGGTCCTACTGCAGGGGAGCGAGCAAATTAGGGCTTGTAGAAAGATGGGGCTGAGGGGACCCAGACTGATGACCATTAGGGAGGTGGCCGCTGTGACATTTGGGCAAGGCAACATGAGATCGGTGAGGAAGAAGGGGGCAGAATTTCATCATTGTCTGGCTATGAATGAATAAGATGACCCTGCAGTGTTTTGCTCATTCTATGCACTGGGAACTGAGGCCTCACTGCCAGGCCTGCGGTCCTGGCAAGGGAGTGGCCGGTGTCATCCTGTTTCTAACCTGTCTGAAATGGGACAGCTACGGAATGGAAGTGGCTGGGGGGAAAGGTTAAGTAAAATCAAATCTGACCACGTTGTATTGAAAGTGTGACCAGAGACATAATAAAATAAATAAGTGTGTGACCACAGAGATCTGTACAGAGAAAGCTACAGGCCGCTGTACCCTGAGGCCTCCTAGGTGGTGGTGGCCGCAGGGGGAGGAGCATAAGAAGCATCTCCTTGTGAGCAGAGATGGGGTGTTTGGGACCCTGAAGAGTTAGGCAAGCTGGAAGAAGAAGCCAGCAAATAAAAGGAGGGCAGGCAGGCCAAGAGGGTGGACAGTGTCCTTGAAGAAGGGAGAAGCAGCCAATGCTGTCACACGTCAGAGGAAGGCGCTGGTTGGACCTGAGGGCCCCATCCTGGTGGGGCGTCTGACTGCTGGCCTCTGGGACTGGCTGCAAGAGCTGGCAGTGCCAAGTCAGTGTTTGTGAAGAGCCTGCTGCCTGTCCCAGCAAGGCCTTCCTGGCATCTGCCCCAAACCTCTTTTTCAGCAGATTGCCAACTGTCTCACAAATCCATTCTTTCTTCTCCCCATGGTGGCAGGGCTCCCAAATTTTACCTAGATGTAGAGCCACTCAGCTAAAGATCACATTTCCTCATTTCCCTTACAGCTAGGTGGGACCCTGGGACAGGGACAGGGCATTTCTAGGTCTTGCTCTTAGCAGAAGGCGAAAGTTCTCCTTCACATACACTTCATCTCGTCTCCCTCTTCCTGAGACTGGAAGGCGGAGGTGGAGAGGGGTAGCTCCTCCCAAACCCTGAGGACGTGAGCAGCACCCAGGTGATGGAGGAGCCCAGAGGTGCAGGAGCCTGGACACCACCAGATCCTGGCGCCAGCCTGCACCTTCCAGACAGCGTACACCTCTGTCTCAAGACGCTCTACATGGGGACTTCTGTTAGGGCAGCCTAACTCATGGGAACACACCATTTAAACTGGTACAAAGGCCATCTTGGATCAGATGGGCAGTTGCTCAGTTCATCTCTGCTAGGGGCCCCAAGGGACAGTGAGAGAGGCCATTGGCATTTCCCTTGATGAGATCCTCCACACACCAGGCCATCTTAATCACCTGCTACACAGCCATCATTCATAAATGGGTCCAAACCTTTCAGGAAGGGATCTGTCCCCTGATTGACACAGCCTAGAAAGGAGTAAGAGCAGTCCGTGGTGCGCAGCTGCAGCCTGCCTCCCCGACCTTTAATGGGGCCCACGTCCAGCTCCTTTTCTCCTCCCACCAGGTCAATCAGTGCCTGGGTGCGTGATGGGGTTGCCATGCACACAGAAATGCTCCATGCATCAGAGGGACAGAATCACAAACACTGCAGTGGGATAGCATCAAAGGTAAAGACCATGAACCTGGAGCTGAAGGCCCAGGTGCGACTACAGCCATGCTACTCAGCAGCCAAGTTACTGACCCCGATGGGCCTCCACATCCTCGGCTGTAGAGGGTTACAGTACAAGCCTGAGCTTTTAAGCCAGGTGCATGGCATGTCTATAATCCCACTGGCTCAGGAGGCCGAGGCAGAAGTTTTGCATGTTTGAGGCCAGGCTTAGCAACTTAGACCCTGTCTAAAAATAAAATTAAAAAGGGCTGGAGATGCAGTGCAGTGGTTGCAGTCCCCTGGGTTCAATCTGTCCCCAGTACTACCAAAAGAAAAGAAAGAAAATCTTCAGGACCCAGGGCTCCATGAAGAGTTTCTAGACTCAACACCAAAAATACCATTCTTTCAACTTCAGTACAATTAAAAATTTTCATTCTGCCAAAGACTATGAAAAAGATGAAAAGATAAGATATAGGGTGAGAGAAATTACAAACAACATATCCAACAAAGTTCTTGTATACAGACTATATAAAGAAATCTCAAAACAATCCAATTAGAAAATGGGCAGCCAGGTATAGCGGTGCATGCATGTAGTCCCAGCTACTCCAGAGGCTGAGGTGTGAAGATAGCAAGCCCAGGAGTTTGAGGCCAGCCAGGGCAACACGGTGAGATCCCATGTCAAAAAAAAAAAAAAAAAAAAAAAGGAAAGAAAAGAAAAAATAGGCAAAACTCCCACACATTTCACCAAACGATAGACAGCAAATAAGTACAACAAAGGTGTTCAACATTAACCTTTAGGAAAATGCAAATTAAAGTCACAATGTATTGCTACACATCTATCAGAATGGCTATAATAAAAAAATAAAGATAGGCCAAGCATGGTGGCACACGCCTGTAATTCCAGCAGCTCAGGAGGCTGAGGCAGAAGGATCGTGAGTTCAAAGCCAGCCTCAGCAAAAGCAAGGCACTAAGCAACTCAGTGAGACTGTCTCAAAATACAAAATAGGGCTAGGGATGTGGCTCAGTGGCCAAGTGCCCCTGAATTCAGTCTCCGCCCCCAAACCAAAAATAAAGATAACACCAGATTCTGGTGAGGATGTGGACAAATTAGATCACTCTTACATTGCTGGTGGGAATGGTACAGACACTGTAGAAAAATTGTTATTGTAGTTATTATAGGACCTAGTTATTATAGGACCCAGGAATTGCATTCTTGGATATTTATTGCAGAGAAAAGAACAGTTATGTTTATACATATACCACACACAAGTGTTTTAGCAGTTTTATTCATAAAAGCTCCAAGCTGGAAACAACCCAAAGGTCTCACGATGCATGAAGGTGAAACCAGGTGCCTGGGATGCTACCAGCAATGAAAGGAAACAAACCATTGATACAACCTAGAAGGTTCTCAAGTGAATTACATTGAATGAAAAAAGCCAACCTCCAAAGGTTACACCTTCTGATCCCAGTTAAATGCTACTGTTTCAATGACAGAGGTGGAGGAGAGTAGCAGTTGCTAGGAGTTGGTGATGGGGAAGAGAGATGGCTATGGTTATAGAGAGCATGAGGGAGAACTGTGGGGACTTGTTGTTCTGTCTTGGGATGGTTACATGAATCTATGTGTGACAAAACCACACACACATAAATCTGAATGAGCCCTGTAGACTGTACCAGAGTCAATGTTCTGTGTGTGTGTTTGGTGCTGGGGACTGAACCCAGGGGCACTCTACCACTGAACTACATCCCCAGTCCTTTTTGAGACATGGCCTAAGCTGCTCAGGCTGGCCTCAAACTTGTGATCCTCCTGCCTCAGCTTCCTGAGCATCTGGGATTACAGGTGTGCACCACTGTGCCAGGCCAATATCCTGGTTCTGATATCGTACTAGATATGAGTCACCACCACTGCAGGAAACTGGGTGAGGTGAGAGGCACATAAGACCTCTTTCTTATGTACTACTCTTCAATATCCAGTGACTATTTCAAAAGTAAAATTTAAAGAAAAATCTGTCAGAGATGCACACTGACCCACATTTACAGATTAAATGACACAGATCTGGTATTTGCTTTAAAAGATACTGCAAGGAGCTGGGGTATGGCTCAGTGGTAGGGCCCATGCTTAGTATGCATGAGGCCTTGGGTTTGACCCCCCAGTCCCAAACAAAAAACAAAACAAAATGGAAAAAAAAAAAAAAAAAAAAAAAAAAAAAACAAAAAAAAACTATAGGAAGAAAGGATAAAGAGGAAAAAGTGGAAGAAATAGATGACACAAAGTATTGATGCTGGGTGAAGACTATCTAGGGGTTCTCATACTTTCTAATTTTGTTTTTGAAAATTTCCAACATAAAAGTTCCCAGGGGTACGTGGTACAACAGAAGGGCTAAACCTAGTTATAAAGCTGGTAGCCTATGTGTTGTTGTAACTTCTGAGCACAAATCAAACTCAAAATGTATGGTTCTGTTTCTTTACAAAGCTTTATTATGAATTTTTATTATGGGTCTTTCATAAATCACACTCTTAATTTATCTCTGTTTACTACCTTCTCCCTTCTAGAGGTCCCACAGAATCATTAAAAAATAGAAATCTATAAATACACATTGTGGATTATGCAGTTTCTACCCAGCGACAGCAGCAGGGCCGGCGTCTAAGTGGTCTGTTCCTCTCCCAGCGGTTCCTCTGGAACAGTCACAGCACTGCAGCCTCTGGAATCTCAAGGGCAGAATCAGCCCCCTTTTCCAATCCCCACCTTGTCCCTCAGCACAATGGCATTTAACAGGTGTTTGTTTTGGACAGTGAGGGTGACTGCGGAACTGCAGAAATGCTGACTGGGGTGACTGCTCCAGAAGGCAGGGCGAAAGGTAAGCTGGGGTCAGTCCTACCCTGACCTGGGGATTGTATTACAACTCACTAGGCCAAATGCCAAGGGCGATCAGACTCCCACAGGGGAGGGGGTTTGCACATAAGCTCAGGCTAACTGCTTTCAGCCGAGAGCTTGAGGTCTCTACAAACCTGACAAATTCCTATCTGGTCCAGAGTCGAGGAATCTTGATTTTTTTCACTATTATATCCTCTTCAGTTCCTGACAAGCGTCTGTCTCCTTCCAGGCAAAGGGACAGAATGCCCTAGGGAACACTGAGTTTAGAGGACAAAGTCTCCACCAAACTGTCAAGTTACTCAGGTTTCCAAATTCACCAAAGGAATAGAAAATTCAGGGATGACTGGAGGCTAGGGGCACGACTCAGTGGTAGGACACTTGCCTGGCATGCGCAAGGGCCTAGGTCCAGCCCCAGACTATGAAGAGGAAAAATAAAATAAAATAAAAGATTGTGGAAGCCGAGTGGCCACAGAAGTCAAGTCGTGGACCTCAGAACTCTAATCTGGGGAGTATCGTGCCCATCTTGTGTTAGCTTTTGGGCATCCCTGGCATTTCTCTAAATTGCATTTGGTTTTACAATCTCCCTTACAAGACCAGCCAAAGGATATCAACTTGCCTGGCATCTTCTTTAAAAACTTATTTTCTGCTTCATCAAGGATGAAGTCTTCTCTCCCAGGAAGCAGAGGGTGAGCAGATTCCGCCTGGCTCCTTGGAGAACACCTCTGCATAGGCTGCAGGCTCCTCCCAGCCTGCTTCTGCCAGCGCCCTCTGGTCCATGCCAGTCTTCTAGTCTCAGCCACCTCTCTCAGCTTGTGGAATACAAGACCAAGCCAGGCCTCAAAATCCCACCTGCTACATCCTTTTCCTATTGTTTAGAATCTATGGCTCCTTGATTAAGTCACAGTGCGACATATCCCACACTCCAGGCTCTTGTCAGGGAAGACTTTTTTCCCAGGAGGGGATAGGTCTTGGGCAGTTCTCCAAGCATACATTCCACAGAGGGACAATAAATGGCAAATCTCTCAGGATGGCCCTGCTTTGGGGAACTCTATCAATTGCTGGCCAGAGCATCAGCACTGCCCTGATGTGTCATTGTCCTGCACATTAACATATCTGCTCACAGCTCCTGACTTCTGCCAGCCCCATGTCAAAGCTGTGATGTGTGGTCCTCCTGCTTCCGTCATTATAAGGGAGTAGAGTACAAAGTTACTTTCCATCAGCTCAGAGAGCATGAGCAACCCAAGTGAGGAGGGAAATAAGAATGAGGTTCTGGGTTGACGAATTGGTGCCATAATTGTTCATGAGTCAAAAAAAAAAAAAAAAAGAAGCCAGATATCCTGAAATATACACAGGGCAAGGAGTCCTCCCGGCAGTGAGCAAAGCAGCAAAGGACCCTTTCTTTTCCTGCCACTTTCCCTGTTCTTCCAGGTTGCAAAGGAATCAAATCCTGTGATGATAAATGAAGTGACCAGCTGCTGCCACACTCTAGCAGGTAGCAGTATGGCCCTTTGGATTAAGAAAGTCTCATTATTACTATTGTTTTGTCCTCAACCAAACATCCAGTGAAAACAGATAATCTGAATATAAGGTCTGCTATTAAAATCATGCCCCATCACATCCTGCAGCTGCAGTTTGGTCACAAGGAGGTCACTCTCTCTTCTGTCCTCCAGAGGCTTTTTCTTGCCCAGGAGAGTGGAATCCGCATCTCTGTACAAGCCAGGCTTCTTTCTCAGCTCACGAGAGGGACCTAGAAAGAAGAAGAAGCAGGGAGCCTGCTTGGTGGGGCCCTTCCTACTGTCCTATAGAAACCAGCACCAGGGCTGTGAGGGGCGGTCACCGGGCTGCAGGACACTCAAGCACTATGGAATGAGAAGTGCACGTGGGAGTAAGGAGAGGCAAAGGGAAAATATTTCCTCTCACCAGGGTGGTGTTAAACCCACTGGGAGCCTCCTTCCTGCCAAGAAACAGAAAAGCTGGCTGAGGCAGACTCTCTGCACCTGGGTCTCCAACTCACTTCTTCCTGCGGATCTTGGGTTTCTTCACGGGTCGCAGATAGGGGTTATCGATGACATTCTCCTCCCCATTCCGGCTGCCCGACAAGGAGGGGTTCTGCTGCAGGACAGAAGTGTTCTCCTTCTCGGCTCCAGAATCATCCTTTGAGCAAAAGCCGAAATAAAGCAAAACACCAACGGCATGAGGAAAGAGACTGTGCCCGTCACAAGAATTACCATTGCGTCTCTTTTGACTGGGAAACAAGAAGGCCGAGAGCTGCTTTCTTTCCAATGTTCCTATCTCTGCCCCAGGTGCACCTGAGGCCCAGGCAGTGGCTGGCTCTGCCAGGAGAAAAGACTGTCAGCTTTGACCCAGTGGAGCACACAGTGGATCCAGAACCCCTTGAGAGGCGGGGACATGAGTTAGGGAGAATGGAGGCCTGGGAGAGGCAGGGAGTTGTAGCTACAATTTCAAAGCTTCAGGGAAGGAGCCCAACCCAGTGGGGAGATAAAGAAAAGGGAGTTCACCCTGGATGCCTTGCAGGACTGGGAGACATAGGCCACAGGCAACAGGGTATCTCCTAGGCCAGAACCAAAAGAAATCATAACAGATTTTTCCCTAAAGTAATTTCTGGAATTTACAACATGGTATCAACAACCATATCCCAGCATAGCTGAAACCTCTCTGGTCCTGAGGGTTCCCAAGGCAAAGCTCAGAGCCTGCAGGTACCATTATGTGTACCTCATCAATAAGGTCTGTGACCTGTGACTCATAGTTTTTCCTTTAACAAAAATGTTATTAATACTCTTTTTTTTTTGCAGTACCAAAGATCAAACCCAGTGCCTCACACATGCTAGAAAATTGTTCTATCACTGAACTACATTCCCATTCCTTTTTCTTTTTCTTTTTTTTTCCCCCCATCCCTTTTTACTTTATTTTGAGACTGGGTCTGGCTAAGTTGCCCAGGTTGGCCTTGAATTTCTATCTTCCTGAATCCGCTTCTTGAGTATAAAGCAGTTTTTTTTTTTTTTAACATTTATTTTTTAGTTATAGGTGAACACAATATTTTATTTCTATGTGGTGCTGAGGATCGAACACAGTGGCTCACACATGCTAGGCGAGTGCTCTACCTCTGATCTACAACCTCAGTCCTAAAGCAGTTTTTATTGTTTATTTTTTGAGGAAAATGTTTAGTCCACATACATTCAGTACGATTCCAGTTAAATATTTTTAAAATCACAATTGTGTACATGTAGGAAAAAAGGTGATAACCTGAAATTTTAAAAACTGTCCTGGGAGTAAGGGTGATTGCTCTCCTTTTCTAATTTATACTCTTCTCTGTTTTGCATGTTTTTAAAAGTGAGGCTGCAGGGGCAGAGGGGAAAATCATACCAAAAATTTGACCTAGAAGGACAGAAGTGTTCTCCTTCTGGAGGGACCAGAAGCTGGTTGGGTGGCGCCCCCTGGTGACACATCAAGGGTTTCATAAGAAGAAGAAATCACAGAGATTCTTTTTCTGCAAATTGGAGGCTGAAGCCCTCACCAACCTCAACCAGGAGAGGAATGCCATCAAAACAGACAGCAGAGTAGAGCACAGTGACCAGATAGCACAAAATTAACAGATGGTTCTCAAGGGACAGATGACCCAGGGTGTGGTCACCAGTCTTCAGCTTACTGGGCCTGGAGAAATTGGATGGTTTCTAGGTTCTACTGTACACCCTAAACCATGGATTGTCCCGAGGGAGCCAGTTCCCTGTAGGGCCCACATGCTTGCCCTCTCCACTGTTCAATCAAGTGGGACCACAAGGCAACCTGGGCCTATTCTGGACTTTCTGAAGACCCTCTTCAAAGAGAGTATCTCAAGGTCAACCTAGCTCTTGACAGACCTGATGCCAGACACAAGATCTGCCTACAGCCAGGTCTACCGTAGACATGAAGCTCCCAGCCTGACTTTTCTTTCTTTTTTTTTTTTTGAGGGGGGCTGATATTGGGGATTGAACTCAGGGGCACTTGACCATTGAGCCACATCCCCATCCCTATTCTGTATTTTATTTAGAGACAGGGTCTCACCAAGTTGCTTAGCACCTCACTTTTGCTGAGGTTGGCTTTGAATTTATGATCCTCCTGCCTCAGCCTCCCAAGCTGCTGGGATTACAGGTGTGTGCCACGGCGCCTGGCTCTGAAATTCTTGATGGCTTGACTGAGTGGCATCTGCCCTCATCCTATCATTTCTTTACCATCAACATCCTATCCCCAAAGTTATTGGAAGGTCACTTCACTGTGCCTTAAGTGTGTTCTAACACAGGAGATGACACAGCCAACGGTGCTGAAAAGCTACCCCTGGGACCATGCTGGATGGTAATGAAGGTCCCTCCATTTTCCTCCTTATGTCCCACAAGAGCAGGATGACAGCTCTATGTCTTCCACATACAGCTGATGGAAGTAATCACCTTATTGTCCCTTTCAGGGACAGGCAGCCTCAAGATGGGGAAAAATAGGGGTAGTGGATCCAAGTAAAACATCCAACTGACCCAGAGAGTTCTAAAAGCATGGGAGCAGAAGGGTCTGTCAGAATCTCCTTGAACCTGCAAAGGTCAGACACAGGCAAAGGCCTGCGAGCTCTCAGGACCCCCTGCTCTGGGGTGACTGTTTCCAGTCTCATGATTGTCAATACCACTCCCATGCCAACAACTCCAAGCCCACCTCCAGCCCTCACCTCGCTCTGACCTCCAGATCCTACAGCCACCTCCATACAGGTGCTGGTCAGCATCGCATGCTCAATGTGCCTAACGTTCCCTCACCAAACAGCTCTCGGTGTTCTCTGCCCTTCCAAGCGTTCAAGCCATGCTTGTTTCTTTTTGTTCTCTGACATCCTCTGTCCAGTGTGTTAGGAATCCTCTAGGATTCAGACCTTCAGATCAGGCAGAATCTGACCACTTCCGCCACCTCTGCTGTGACCCCTGACACACTGCACCAGCTTCTAAGGGCTCCTCCTCTTGCGTCCACACCCTTCAGGGCAATCAGAGTGATGCTTTCAGAAGTTCAAAAACGTCTCTCCTCTATATCCTCCCATGACCCCCACCCCTCCCAGCAGCTGATGAGGTCCATCTGATCCAATTCTCCTTCAATCTGCCTCAGCCACTGTTTCTCAGGCCCTCTGCACCGGCCACACCCTCTGCCAGGCACTCTTCTCCAGATATCCACAAGGCTCACTCCCTCACCTTCTCCAAGCCTCTGCACAGATACAGCCTTCTCGGTGATCTACCTAAGCACCCCATTTAAAACTGAAATCTATATCCTCACCCTGGATCTTCCCCTACTGTATTTCGTCCAAGGCACTTTCATCTTTAATATGCTACTTAATGACTTAATTACATATTATGTTTATTTTTGTTCTTCCACTGCTAAACACAGGCTCCTAAAAGAGGTTTTGTCTGTTTTGTTCATTGCTTTATCTCAAGGAGCAGAAGAATACCTGGCATGTACTAGGTACAAAGTAAACATTTGTTGAGTGCATGACTGGTTCAAATTTTCATACAAAAGTTTAGACATGTGGATTGCCTGCACAAGGCAACAAGTTCAAATGTATGAGAGGAAAAAAAACATGTACTATTTTAAAATGAACAGCTCTGCTGGGCATGGTGGTGCACGCCTGTTATCCAAGCAGCTAGGGAGGCTGAGACAGAAGGATTGCAAGTTCAAAGCCAGCCTCAGCAATGGCAAGGCACTAAGCAACTCAGTGAGACCCTGTCTCTAAATAAAATACAAAAAATAGGGCTGGTAATGTGGCTCAGGGGTTGAGTACCCCTGAGTTCAATCCCCAGAAGCCCCTCAAAACAAAAAACAAAAATGAATAGCTTCTTTATGTTCAAGTACATGGAAAAACCAGAACTAGATTAAACAAAGTAATTACTCCTTATCAATAGTCCTGCAAATGCACTGTCTTCAACAGATGAAAGAATAATTTAAAACACCAGTTATTTAATTTGCTTTAACAATATCAGTGAATGCTAGAGACAGAAAATCACCTAAATGTCCATAGTGGACTCATTACATTATTACATCCATAAATGAAGCTGCGAGGAATGAAGGAGCTCTTTATACACAGATACGGAATGATCACCAAGATACATACAGCCACAAAGGGAAAAAAACAATGGGAAGACCATTTGTGATCTGCTGTGTGTGTTTAAAACAATTTTTTAAAAAATGTATTTTAGTTGTCAATGGATCTTTTATTTTATTCATTTATTTATATATGGTGCTGAGGATCGAACCCAGGGCCTCACACATGCCAGGCAAGTGCTCTACCATTGAGCCACTACTCCAGCCCTATTTAAAACAATTTTAAACACCCAATGTCTCTAGAAGGATACACGAGAGATTGGAGAGACAGATGCTTTGTTGGGAGGGACAGAATGAGAGGAAGGAATGTCACTTTACATCTTTTTTGTTCGTTCTGAATTTTGAAACATATTATTATATTTCCCAATCCAACAAAATAAGAATAAATGCCTACATATAAACTGTTGCTAGAATCTTAAGTCTCCAAGTCTCTATTTTACTTTGTACAGAAGAGTTTGGGGCTGTATAACCTAAAACCACAGAGGAGAGAAGGATGTGTGCTGTGAGCCACCATGTGCCAGGCACCTGACATACATTAGCTCACTTTATCTCAGGCTCTCATCCCCTTGAGGTTGGTGTTCCCATTCTGATGTGCACTTGTAAAGACACAGACTCAGGTATCCGTTAACACAATTAAAGTCACACATCTGGCAAGTAGCACAGCCTGGATATGAAGCCATGACAGTCTGCCCCAGGGTCACATCTTTCTCTTCTTTGCTGTCTATACTCCTAGCTCAGCCTCTTTGCAGCCTGGGGTCCTCAGGCAGCCTCAGTTCCCTTACCACAGGGACCTCACATCATGTCACAACCTGTGTTAGGCAACACATCTGTGAGCCCTTTAACTATATTGTACTTACAAATGTCTGGTGGTATTTGCTTAGCTTAGAAGACTCCTTCTCATAAGGTGAGTACAAAACAGAAGTATAAAATAACAAGTTCCACTGCTTTAAAGCCACGGGCTTCCAGCCTAATTCTGAAAGGGATCAGTCAACATTGAAGGAACATGTATGTTCAAGCAAGGATGATCTTCAGCAAAGATCAGCGAGCACATCTCACTTGCAAACTGAAGTTGCTCCTGCCATCTGGTGCCTCCTAGCTTAGAGTACAGGAGGGGCCTTCAGTCTAACTATGTCCCCTAAGGCTCCAGACAGGAATTTTAAAGGATAGCTGAACATAGTAGTCTGAACAGAAGGACCCTGGGAGCCTTGAATGCGTTACTGCCTCCAGCAGCTCTAGGATTCTGCTTTTTATTTTTCATTTTAAAACAGGGTCTCACTAAGTTGCTTAAGGCCTTGCTAAGTTGTTTTGGCCTTGAACTTGCAATCGTTCTCCTGTTTCAGCCTCCTGAGTCACTGGGATTATAGGCATGTGTCACCTTACCTGGCCAGGAATTGGTTTTTAGTTTTATTTAACTTTAATTAATTTACAGAGCTACATGTGGCTAGTGGCTACAGTAATGGACAGTATAAGTCTATATTCATTGACTCCAAGTTCTCTCCTGTTCTCTGTGAATTAATTCCAGGGCCTTACTCTCACTCTTACTGAAACTGCTCTTATCAGAGTCAAAAACTACATTCACTGCAAACTGTGTACTTATTCTGTTTTTCTGTAAGCCTAACAGTGTTCTTAACATCTATTAATTTACAAATACGTGTATCTACTTATGTACCCTTATAATTAATGGAGGAACCTTTAAAAGTTACAATAAAGTGATCAAGGCAAAAAAAAAAAAAAAAAAAACAACTACATTCACATTGCCAAATCCAATGGTCAAATTTGCAGTCCTGTTACTGTAACTGCAGCTCAGGAAGCAGCTGATGGCTCTTTACTCCCTGAAATCTTCCCTTCCCTTGGCCTCCAGGACCTGTCCTCTCCTGCTTCTCCTCTCACCTCTCTGGCTCAGCCGTCTCAGTCTCCATGGCTGCTTCCTCCTCATCATGACCACTAAATACGTGACAGCCCCACGGCCTGGTCAACGCAACTCTTCTCTTCTTTGCAGTGGTGGGGACTGAACCCAGGACCTCATGCATGCTAGGCAAGCACTCTGCCACCGAGCTAAACCCAGCCCTTTTTATTTGTATTATGGGACAGGGTCTCACTAAGTTGCTGAGGCTGTCCTCAACTTGCAACCCTCCTGCATCAGCCTCCCAAGTTGAGGGGGTTACAGGTGTGTGCCACTGCACCCAGCTCCTTTTCTTTCTAGTCCTCACTTGCTTCCTAAGAAAGCTCATTTACTATCTTGGTTTTGAGTCCACCTACGTGACTACCAAATTGACATCTCTAGCCATAACTGTTCCTCAGACTCCAACATTTGGACTCAACTCTCTACCTGACATCATCAAGTTCATGTCTAATAAGAATCTCAAGCTTAACACATCTGCACCTGAGCACCTGACTGTCACCCATACAGCACGCAGCATCAGTCTCCCCTATCTGGCTGCAGACAACTTCCTACTCCCTGTCATTCAGGCAAAAATCTTGGAGCCACCTTTCACTTTCTCTCTCCCCTCAACATCTCACATCTGTTCTACCAGTTGGTGCTGCTCTGTAAAGAATCTAGAATTTGACCAAATGATCTCCTGGTGGTTTCATTGCTTTTGCTCCTACCGCCATACCTCAGCTTATTGCTATAGCCTTCCAGCAGCTCTCTGGCTTCCGCTCTGCCCTCTGTAGTCTACTCTCAATACTCCAACCTGACTGATTCTGTTAACAATCCTCCATGAGATCCTGACCTTCCTCTACTCATTATCTCCCTGGCTCCCATCTTACTGAGTAAAAGCAAAAATGTTTAATAAAATGTTTAAGACCCTGTAAGTCTGAGTCTCCCATGAGCTCTCCGACCTCATCCATTGCCTCCCCCTCGTCCACTCCACTCTGGCATCCTTGCTGCTCAACTCAACAGCTAGGCTTCCACCTCAGGGCCTTTATCATCTACTGGTCTCACTGCCTGAAAAACTCTACCCCCAGATGGGAGCAGGCATTGATCTCTTTAGGTCTTTACTCAAATGTCAGTTTAATTTTTTTGGTTCTTTTTAGTTATATACATGACAGTAGAGTCCATTTTGATAAAGTTATACATGCATGGAATACCTCTTATTCTAATTAGGGGCCCAGTCTAGTGGACACACATGATGGTGGGATTCACTGTGGTATAGCAGATATCAAATTCTAATCCTGTACTCCCTCATTTTCATCTTCACTTCCTATTTTTCCTTAGCTCCATGAAGTTTGTCTGTATTTCTTCCTTCTAATTCCCCAGCACCTGGACCTAAGCCTGGCCTGGCAGGTGCTCATTCAGTATTTGTTGAATGAATGAGTGAATCCCCAGGACATGGATATGTCTCTCAAGTTGGAGATCAGGTTACACCTGGATCATCATGGACCTATCCCAGGGTGACAGGCCAAGGGCTGGATGGGCCAGTTGGGGGGAACTCTGAGGCAGGCAGAAGACAGGACCCACCGTGCTGATGTGGAGAGCGAGGTTCTCTGTGTCTGTCTGCTCATCCTGCTCCGAGGAATCTGTCTCCTCCATTTGTTGCATCTCCAGCTCAGATGGAAGAAGAGCTGTCAGGTAGGGGATGGTGAAAGGTCTGGCAGCAATCACTGGGGAAGTGGAAGAAAGCATGATTCCACTGACAGGGAGTCCCTGCAGCCTTCCCGGAGCCTTACAGCAAAACAACGGGCAGCACCCACAGATAACACCGGTTCATGTGCTCCAAACACGTACAGAACGGGCCCAGCGATGCCCTGTGGCTTTACATGTGCCATCTTTAATCCTTGTTCCCACTGGTACATAAGCACAACTATCACCCCATTTGACAGATGTGGAACCCAACGCACAGACAGGTTGACTTTCTTAAGCACAGAAAATAGCAGAGTGGGATCCCAACTTAGGCAATCCCAACTTGAGAGCCAATTTTTAACAAGGAAAACTGAAATCAGACGGAACTGGGGCTATCAGCAGAATCTCAATTGCATTGGCTTTGTGATCTTATACCCAAGGTCAGTTAACCCCTCGAAGCCACATTTCTACAGCAGGAACACTGATCTTTTCAGCCTGAAGGACCTAAGAACTCCAAGGGTGAGTATTTCCCTGGATCTAAAAGACACTTATGGTGAGTGGGAATTTCTATCCTTCCAAAAAGCAATGAGGATGAAAGAAAGAAATTGATCTAAAAACAATACTAATAGGCTGGGGATATAGCTCAGTTGGTAAAGTGCTTGCCTCGCATGCACAAGGGCCTATGGAAGAACATGATTATCAGGAGCTACTAAAAAATTATTTTTACTGTGGATCAGAAATAGATCAGGCAGCCATAAGGAACTAGGATTCAATGCTACCTAGTAGACCATGACCTTGAGTTAGCTACTTATTGCTGTTCTTTATAAGTCTGTGGATCCTACAAAGGTGGTGATAATAACAGTTCCTAACCTATAGGTTCATGAGATTGAATGGGATGATGTATAGGAAATCATCAGAAATGTCTGGCACTTGGTAATGTCAGCTGCTATTATTCCAGAGCTGGGCACCTAGTAGGCATTCGGTGGTAAGGGCCTATTGAATCAATGAATCACCCAATCTCCCTGTTTATTTTTGTATAAACTGAAGCCTCCTGTAGAGAGGAGGAACTTATTCAAAAAGGCCAAATAGTGCAGAGACACAAGGTTAAATGAGATGGAACCTGGGGAAGGGTGTTGTGCCAGGCAACTGCACCAGATGCTGGTGCTCCTTCTACTTCTTGGGCTGCCACTTCTCCCCTGAGTCTCTGTGAGTCCTAGGGCTCAGCCACCCTTGTGGAAACCTAAACTCAATGTACCTTGAGCAAATAATCCCACAAAGGCATTTCTGTTTTGAAGTTATCAGATAGAGACAGGCTCTTAAGACTGGAGAAAAGGAGCCAGGAATCTGAAGAATAAGCTGCCATCAGAGAAAAAGACAAAAGCTTATTCATTTCTCCTCACCAAGCCAATAGAAAAGATGGCGTGATTATCTCAAATGACAAAGACAGAGTCCACAGAGGAAGCAACTCTTACATGGGAATGTGCTGACGTCATCTTTGAAGAGACTCTGGGTCTCGCCTGTCTTGGCCATGAACCGTGTGAGTGCCCGCTCCACATCACGCCTCTGGGATGCAGCCTTCTCCCGCAGGACCTGGTAGTCCGACACAGGCTTACGGTAGGTCTACAAGAGAACAGCAAAGACACCGGGTAAGCTGAGGTGCCCTTCTGCTCTGATGGGTCCCTGACTTGCTGTTGCTAGGTCCTTCCACCCCTCAAAATGACCCACTATCATTATTTACTGTAGAGATCTCCACAGCACAATGAAGAGACAGAAAGATGATGGTATAGCCTCATAAATATTTATATGTATTCTTAAAAATTAAGAAACGTGCAAATGTTTACAATAGAGCTGACTCCGGCTTTCATTCAGTGCCATGACAGCTGGTCTCAAGTGTAAGAGACACAACCTTAAGGAAGAATGGGAGTCCCCCGGGGAGCTGTGACAGGGGCCTTCAGTTCCATCAGTGTAATATGACATCCTGCATTATATGAGTGGCTGCCATGTGGACTTGCAGATTGTACTATCCTGTTTTCTTAAATTCACCCTCTCAAAATGGACACATTGCTCCAAAAGATTCCCTTAAGAAAAACAGGCTGAAGACGTTATCCTGAGTGCTGCAAATGAACAAGAAAATGACAGATGCCACTCCTTCTGATTATGAGCTTGCTGGCAATCACTATGGAAAATAAGTGAGATCTAATCTGAATAAGAAGTTATCCAAAACATGGCAAAAGAGACATTTTAACAATGACATGAAAGTATGAACTCTTCATGATATAGAGACAAGGCTTTTAAAGGAGGCAATCAGAAACATTTCCACATGTCACTGTTAATTCAAGTGTGTCACCTCTATAGTTCCCATATCCATACTTAAACAGACACAGAATTCTCTGACTAAAATCTTCCCAAAATTAAAATGAATTATTTAATTAATTATTTATTTAGGTACTTGGTACTGAACTTAAGGGAAGCTTTACCACTGAGCTACATCCCTAGACTTTTTTAAATTTTTAAAATTTTTTTTGGGGCGGGTGCTGGGCATTGAACTCAGGGGCACTCGACCACTGAGCCACATACCCAGCCCTATTTAGCATTTAATTTACATATAGGGTCTCACTGAGTTGCTTAGGGCCTCACTTGCTGAGGCTGGCTTTAAACTTGTGCTCCTGCCTCAGCTCAATCCTGAGCTGCTGGGATTACAGGCGTGCACCACCGTGCCTGGCTTGTTTTTATTTTTTGAGACAGGGTCTCACTAAGTTGTTGAGGCTAGACTTGAACTTGTAATCTTCCTGCCTCAGTCTCCCAAGTCACTGGGACTACAACCGTATCCTGCAAGATTATCTATTAATGTGAATTATTTTTGTACAACATTACATTATAATATTTATGAAAATAAACAGGCACTTATTAGAATATATACATAATATTTCCACCATCAATGACACACTATAAGAGTTAAAAAATGTTATGGGTTGAATTGTGTACTCATAAAGAACATTTTAGACATATTGAACTTACAAAAAAACCCCACAAAATTACCTATAAACTCACCAAAAATGGATCATGACATTTTGTAGAATATCCTTCTAGTTTATTTCTATGTGATTAAGTACTTTCAAATGTTTTGGTGGAACAGGCAAATTCTAGCTTCAATCTTTATTAGTTACACTTTTGGAGGCAAACCTGAGAACATTTTTTCTCACTTGTCATATTGCTTCTCAATGGGGAAAGATATCGTGAGTTCTGAACTGCTCTTTTACCAGAATTCCAGTCAATTTACTGAATTCCAGTCAGACAGACAATAGGAATTGATAGAGTCCACTGCTCCTGGATGCTACTTTAGAGTCACCGTCCCCAGTATGGCATCATCACTCACCGGAGTTTTGATGTAGGTGTGGGGATCGGGGAACTCAGGAAAATGGCTGGGGATGTGTGGCGGGTGGGGTCGGTTCTGCCCTGCAGTGAGGGCCTTGGGGGTCACTGGCTGATTGGTCACTGGAGCTGCAACAGAATCACAACTAATTAGTCCTCCTACTGAGGCCCTGGTTTCTATAGATTATGGTCACTGTCCAAACTCCTTTTTTCACTGGACCACAATTTTCAAAACAGCAGGCACTTTGTATTTCTATCAATAAAAAGCCTCTGATGGTTTAAGGACCTGAGAAGGTCACCCCCACAATGTTCAGGATTGCTAGATGACCTTGGTTGACATTTCCATCTATAACAATCTGCCCTCAGTCTTTTAGGTAGATAGATTGGTGTCTAGGACCAAAGTAGGTACCTTAAAGAGCATGCTGAAGAATGAAGGAAGTTAGATGGGTTGCTAACTCTTTTTTCAGAGAATCTAGGGTGGCTGGGGGGCATAGCTCAGTGGTAGGGTAAGTGCTTAACATGCAGGAAGCCTTAGGTTCAATCCCCAGCAAACACACACACACAAATTGTTCAGGGACCCTAAATAACAAAGATGTACACTCAGCTGGAGAAAGTTAGTATATGTTTAAGTGATTGCTAAGGGGATTGGAAATGGCACCTTCTGCTATGCTGTGAGAGGAGTTCTTTAAAAGATGCCAATGTGAAAAAGTGACTTTAAAGGAAAAAAATCCAGTGAATTCTTCCCAAGTCCTACAATCCCAAACTAGTTGCTCCCTGTTCAGTTCATGGCACCCAGTTTTATCTAAGGCTGAGTCACTAAATATTTTGTTTAAAGAGCCACATAGTAAATATGTTAGATTTTGTGACCATACAGTCTCTGTACACAACTAAACTCTATCATAATAGCACAAAAGCAATCACAGATAATAAATCAATGTGGCTGAATTTCAATAAAACCTTATTTACAAAAACAGGCAGCAGGCTGCATTTGGCCCATAGGCCATGGTTTACCAACTCTCAATCTAAGGAAGAACAACAACTTTCATGTTTTTCAAGCAGCATCATTCACTCTTCTGCACCTAAAGCACAAGAACTGTAGTAATATCTCAGAGATGGCTTTGCTTTTTGGCAAATAAACTTCACATCCTAATCCTATAAACCAAGAAATAGATTGGAAGTAGCCCTAAAGATTGGAAGGGAGCCTGCAACAAGGAAACAGCTACCAATCTGACCCCTGACCTAGTCAACTAATTCATTCCGCAAGCATTAACTGAGCACTTACTGAGTATTTCAGTTCAAAGTCACTTACGGGCAGTGATGACCATCCTCTGAGACCGTTTTGCATAAGCAGGGAGAGTGTCCACATTGAAACCTAAGAGACAAGAAAACAAATCACTGCCCAGTCAACTGAACTTTGAACGGGAAGAGGGTAATAGTGTGGAAAATGACTTTAACTCCCACTCAAACCAATGTACTGTCCTTCACAAGAAGCTACAGTGGAATCCCCCAACAGGGAGTTAGGTGGTCTCTTAGACCAGTTCACAGAAACCCTCTCTTTACATCTCTCTTGTGGTAAAAGCACATCAAGAGAACTATGAGGGAATCCAGACCACTCAGCTGACATGGGTGCCTCCTAAGGACTTACCCCTCTCTCATGACCTCAACTAAGTTGCATGGAAGAATTTGAAACTGGGGTGTACTTACCCATTTCAACCAGAGTGACCACAATATCTGACAGCGTAGGCTGGGTCCTGGCTGTGTGCTCACAGTAAGACTTGGCACTCCTCCCAATTTCTGAAATGTCTATGAGAGGATAGAAGGCATGAGGTCTTATTCTCAGTTCCTCAAAAAGTTAAATATAGAATCACCATGTGAAGCAGCAATTCCACTTCTAGGTCTATACCCAAATGAATTGAAAGCAGGGACTCAGAGATACTTACATATCCATGTTTATAGCAGCACTGTTCACAATAGCCAAGTGGTGGAGAGAAATTATTCTCCACTGACAAAATAATGGATAAATTGTGGGACATACATAGAATAGAATATTATTCAACCTTCAAAAGAAATTAAATTTATATATGTTCAACATGAATGAACTCTGAAAACATGCTAAATGAAATAATTCAGACACAAAAAGGCAAATATTTTAAGATTCCACTTATATGAGATGCCTAGAAAAAGCAAATTTATATAGAAAGAAAGTAGATTAGAAGAAAAGAGAAATGGGGTGTTATTGTTTATGGGTAGAGTTTCTGTTTGCAATGATGAAAACTTCTGGAAATGGATAGTATTGATGGTTGTACAATATGATGAATATAATTAATGCCAATGAATTGTACACTTAAAAATGATTAAAACAAGCCAGACATAGTAGTATATGCCTATAATCCAAACTATTTGGGAAGCTGAGGTACATTCAAGGCCAGCTTCAGCAACATAGTAAGACCATGTCTCAAATAAAAAGGGCTGGAGTGATAGAGTGCCCCTAGGTTTAATCCTAGGAACATATATACACCCCCTCAGAGAGAAAGAGAGAGAGAGAGAGAGAGAGAGAGAGAGAGGGAGAGAGAAACGAAAGAGGGATGGAGGCAGGGATAGAAAGAGAAATAACAATAATAAGAGAATAATCAAGAGCTTACAATTTTCCTATCTCAGAATGTTTTACATATAAATCTCACTTATACTCACAATTCCATGAGGTACAATTTATTATTCCATTTCACAAATGAGGAAACTGAGGTCTGGGAGGTTTAGTGACTTGCCTAAGTTATTAAGAGACAGAATAATGACTTACACCCAAGCCTATCTGATTCTGAAGCCTGTAAGTCACTTCATTCCCCCACTTTTGCCTTAAGTCCTAACACCATTGCAATACAGGGCATAGATCTGATGTTGGGGTTGACCAGAAGGCAGCCTAGTGTTTCCTGGTACTCACAGCTTTGCAGCATTTCTGTCAATGTTTCCACAGATGCTTTTTCAGCACTCTCAAACCCTGCTTCTGTGAGCAAGGAGCTCACAACCACTTGCAGGGTTCTCCTCCGGGCCAGATGATAGTTATCTGCAGGGTTAGTGGACTGTTTACTTCCTGATCTCTGTGAAATTGGCAGGAGAGCGGGGGAAGACTTTCAACCATAGGACAAGGATACAATCACATAGTTCATACATCATCAATGGCAAGCCAAAGTTCTTTTGGTAAATACTTAGCAAGGCTTAATGATAACCTTTCTTCCAACCTAAAACGTTCCAATAGGAAAAACAGCTTTTTCCCCCCACTTTCTGTGTTAAGAGATTATCAGAAAATATAGCTGAAGAAACAAGTATGAAGAGATTGAATAAATCTACTTCCTCCAAAAGAAATAATCTCTCTCTTGTTCCATTTCTATACTATTTCATTAGCAAGGAAAAATAAAACAATAACACATAAAGCTGAAGACATCAGGGCAAAGGATAACCGCACAGAAATGTAGAGAAGCTAAATATTTTGAAACGGAATCCTTCCCAACTTTAGATGGCCAATAAGAAGGTGAAAACGGCTTCTTTGGACCAATCAGAAGGTGTTCCGGGTTCCCACCCACCCAACAGAGAACGGGCCAATCAAGACGCAGATCCACCAACTTGGGAGGCCGTCGCCAAGTCCTAAGGCGGGGGGGAGACGTTCGGCCTGAAACACCCTCCTCCACTCAGAGCTCCTGGTGGGGCTGGATTTCTGGGCATGAGCGTGTTGCCCAGGCCAGGGTAAAGTTACAGAATGCCCAAACTCTCTGGGCTTCAGCCCTGCGCCTCCTTCCCTTACCGTTCCGGAGCTGCCGGCCCCGGCTGCGGCCGCCGTGTCGGCCATCTTGCTCTGGCGTCGTGTGCGCGAGCGCGGGGCGGGATGGGACTTGTAGTCACGGGGCGGGGAGTTGGCGAGGGGCGGGGCGGCGCGCGCCCCCCAGGTTTTCGGAAGCCCTGCGGGACTGGGGGTGAGGAGCGTCGATGACTCTGAGTTACGCGAACTTTTGTGAGAGAATTATTCTTGAGGCCTTCGGTGAGCTAGGGAATAGGCCAGGAAAACGCACTTTGGGTTTTACTGATTAAAAATAAATTATTTTAATGTGAATCGTTTCTCATAAAGAGCATAATCCTGGGAGGACCCCTGGAAGTCGCCTGCATTCGCAGAGGTTTCCAAATTTATCAGGTTAGCAACACCTGGTTGGGCCATCCCAGTCCCAGTGCCTTCACCCTGGGAGAGGGTCTTGTTATTCAAGCTCCCCAGATGGTTTTCCTGAGCCGGTAATTTTGGGCAACCCTAGAGCGTCCCACCGCATGAATTTGTCCTCATGGCCCCGCAGCCACCAAGGCCCACTTGGAACTAGAGCCTAAGGGCCACCTAGTCCGGGTCTTCCACTACATCTCGCTGCGCTCTCGCTCTATTCATCCGCTAGTGATTGCGAGGCGAGCAGAGAAACCTTGTCCCTTTCCCGCCTCGCTTCCAGGGCGTTGGGTCCACGCGTCTGCTGGTGGTTTTGTCACTCGCCTGTCAGCCCCTGTGCACTGGGGGTTCTTCGAAGGAAGGGACCTCGAAGCACCTTACTCGTCCCCGCAGGGGAAAATAAGATCACAGTGTTGTCACGGTGCTTGGCGTGCAGAAAGAGTTAAGAAATCACGCCTGCTGTTGTTGTTTACTTCCTGGATAGCGCACGCCGGAGTTGCGAACCCCAAGAAGGCAGCTGCTGAACCTGCCTGCGCCCGCCCTGCTGCCCACACCTGAGCTGTGGTCGGCCCGTCCCCTAATTCAGGGCACTTGGGGCGGGGTCTGCAGGTCGCGGGTGGCGGGGCTGGGGTGGGGGCGGCGCCGGATGAGCAGCCCCGCGGCGCCCAGGGGTGTGGGGGACCCAGCCTTGGCGGAGCTGAGCACCCAGCCCCTTTGTCTCCCCCGCCCCCTCTTCCCCACTTCCTGCCCAGCTTTAAACTCGGGATCTGCGGCGCTGCAAGAACTTTGTAAACACGCCGCTCCTGCGGGGGTGGACACTAGCTCTTTTGGGGCGCCCAGGGGAGGGTGTATACCCCTCCCCGCGATTGGGGTTGCGACAGCCCCCGCTCCCCAAAGACAGAAGCCTGGGCGGCGGGAGAGAGAGAGTCTGCAGCCAACAGTCGGTGCTCCGGTGCTCCGGGGGGCTCGCCTGCCAAAGAGGTAGGCTTGGGGGCTGGAGAAGCCAGGATAGATGGACATCTATCCCTTTCTCTGGGGTTTTGCTCAAAGACAAAGCTGGAGACCCCGAGTTGGGGGTCAGTAGTGGGTGGATTAAGGGGGTCGCCTCGTGCTCATCACCTCCCCGCTGGCCACCAAAGCTCAGCTCACTTTCCCTTTTAATGCATTATTCTTCCGGGAGTTGAAGGGCAGGGAAGCCTCCATGAGCCTTGTAAATATGTGCACACCTGCATTGCCTCCCTCCTAGTTGACTTGAAAGTCCAGGGGCTTCACTTTATTCCTCAGTGATAGGGGTGGGGGGCAGACCAGTATGGGTAGGGAGTCTGTCGGTGTTGAGGCCAACCAGGGTCAAGGAGGGACCCCTCAGCATCCTCCCTTCTGTGGTGTTTGGTGGTTATGCAGGTGATGGTCTTAGCCTCCCCGGTCTCTCTTCACATGTGGACAAGAAGAATAAGAAATTTGCTGCTGTGCATGATTCATTTTCCTTGGTTGAGCACCAGCTATGTGCTTGGTATTGCATGGGATGCCGAAGGCAGGAGTGATGTTCATCTATAGGTACTAGTCATCCTCCAGAACCCAACATTTGAGTTGGATTCTGGAGGATGACTAGTTCACCAGACAGAATTTTGTGGAAAGTCTTTGGGGACACTCATTCCTCTGAGCTGGATGGACTGAATCCTGTCTTGTTAGGCACTTGGACACACTAGGAGCAATTGCTGCCCTCTTTCACCCACTGTCAGGTTTGAAGAAGACGTGGGACTGAACAGGATGAATTCAAGGAAAAGCAGGTTTCTGGGCTGGTTCCCAAGATCCCAGGAACTCTCAGTTGAGTGCAACTAGCAGGGTCCACCATCCTTGCACCTATTCCCTATCCTGAACTCCAGGATGGTTTCCTCTAAGGAGTTCTTGCCATTTGCCCACTACCTCAGTTCCCTTTGGGACCAGACATGAGTGGAAAGAAACTCTCCCATTGTGTCCCTGCTGATTCTGCTCTTCCATTCCTGGATCCTTTACAATTTGAATAGCACCACAATTTCTGAACTTATTATTAACACTATTTGCTGTGGCCAGACTCTCTGCCCAGTCTGGATGTTGGAGACATCATGGTAAACAAGTCAGAGTGCTTACCTCCTGGAATTTAAGTTTAGAGCATCCCTGATAACCCTAGAAGGGTTGAATAACCAATCACCATGGTCCTAACTGCTTCTCCTTCCTGTTTCCCTTTGCTCATGGGCTTGGAATGTGAGCTAAGTTATGCAGAACTATCAGGTGCTCTTCTAAGTGGTTTAGATGCAGCATCTCATTTAAATCTCCTGTTAGCCCTGAGAAATAGTCACTATGATGGTCTCCATGTTATAGGTGTGGACACTGTGGCACAGGAGATAAGTAATCTTCCTAAAGAGGGAACAAGAAATAAATAGAACTGGAATCTAAGCCAAATTTATGGCTGGGTACAGTGGAGCACTCCTGTGATCCCAATGACTCAGGAGGCTGAGGCAGGAGTATTGCAAGTTCAAAGTCAGCCTGAGCAACTTAGCAAGATCCTATCTCAAAATAAAATAAAAAGGGCTGGGGATGAAGCTCAGAGATAGCGCTCTTTCGTATCACATGCAAGGTCCTGGGTTCAATCACCAGTGACACAGATACAAAAAAACAACTAATTTGACCTGGGAGGCCCTGTTCTTAAAAAGTCTACCTCCTTGACTAATCACAAAGAATGTGTTCTTGAGCCAGGAGCTTAGGGACTTCCAAGGGAGTCTATGGTCCTACCTGGTCTGATGTTTTACATGGTATATAAGTGTGAGCAGCAGTCTGTTAGCTAAGCTTGGGTTCACCTTTCACGTACAGTTTGCAGAGAATCCCAGCAGACTTGGAGTAGGGTTGTGGGGACTGCATGTTGCTGCTATCCTTTCTCAGTGGCTGTGGGAGGGGAGTGTGAGGTGATGTATTTTCTTTTGTGTAAGACTCGCCAAAAGGAAGAGGGCATGCAGTTAACCAAGAGGAACATGAAAGAACTTCTCAACATGTGTTGGAATCTGGGGAATGTGGAAAATCAAGACACTTGTTTTGTTGGGCATCTTTAAGACTAGCAGAGACATCTGGGCATTGTGGTGCTTGCCTATAATCCCAGCCATTCAGGAGGCTAAGGCAGGAGGATCACAAGTTCCAGGCCAGTCTCAACAATTTAGCAAGGCCCTGTCTCAAAATAAAAAGGACTGGTGATTTAGCTCAGTGGTAAAGTGCCCTTGGGTTCAACCTGAGTACAAAAAAAAAAAAAGAAAAAAGAATAGCAGAGACCCTCACATTCTAGACTCGAAGAGGAACATTCTAGCGATTCTCGTGAGGTAGTGGAGTAAGGAGATGGTCTAAGAGTGGAAGCTATCTTCAGGTGCTCACCACCTCTCTTCCCCTTGGCTGCTGTATCCAAAGCTATGTCTCTGTTCTAGTTCCTTCAGAGAGGCTACTACAGTGTTCATGAGGTGAGCCTGACCACAGGGCAGAGTGTCCATGCATTCCACCATTTTCCCACCTCCTTGCTGAAACTGTGCACAGGTCTAGGGAGCTTCCAATGCAGGTCCTTCCTCCTGCAATGTCTTGGAAAGAGGGGTGTGTGTTGAGGGACATGGGGTTGAGCATAGAAGGAGGGAACAGGGCACCAGATAACCGGTAAGCAGCACAACAGTTCATAACTCTACAGGCTGCTAGGCTGCTCCTCTGCCCACCCCCCTCTTCCTCCTGCTTCTGGAGTGGGGTGCCCCAGGCCCCCTTCCCAGGCCCTAGCTTGTCTGTGAAGAACAGGTTGTACTCTTGAGAAACCACAAGAGGAAGTTTAGAGAGGCCTGGGGGTGGGGAAAGTTCTGGGGCTCCTGCCAAGTTTCCCTTTCCTTGCTGAGCAGAAGGTGTGTTTATCTTACCCACAGGATATTTAAATTTTAAATCCTCTGCCTTTTAAAAAGCTGTCAATGCCTGTCCCATTACTGCAGGAGGGCAGGGGGATTGGAAACCCATGTCCCCTGGTCAAGGCTGATTCCATAAAGTCTCCTTTTCTCCTTCTGCCCCTTCACCTTCTTTTCCCCAAAGCACTGTACAACCTTTAAATACAGAGGAATGTGGCTATAATGGCTACTTAGGAGCTGAATGATGTTCCCAGGTGGTGTCCTAATGTTTACTGCTTTATCTCACTTGGTAGTCATCATAATTCCAGGTGATAAGTACTTCTGTCCTCAATTTACATACCCAATTTACTGCAAACTCAGGCTAAGAGACTTGCCCAAGGTCACTCAGCTAAGTGGCAGAATTCAGATTTTGAGCATGGATGTATCTGATTTCTGTTGGTGAATTAACTCCCAGGAGGTTGAGATCTAAAGGTGTTTTGTTAGTATGGGGAGAGAAAGGGTTAGAGTAGGATGAGAAGGGTTTTCTTTTTTCAGTATTTATTTATTTATTAAGTGTAGATAGATGGACACAACACAATGCCTCCTTTATTTTTATGTGGTGCTGAGGATTGAATCCGGGTCCCGCCCGCGCGAGGTGAGCTCTCTACCACCACAATCTACTGAGCCACAATCCCAGCCCCTGAGCCACCATCCCAGCCCCTGGAAGGGTTTTTTCGAAAGTGAATACACTGAAAAAAAGAGCAAGGTCTGAGAGTACAGTTACAAGCC